ACTCGAGGGTGGAGATCATCTGGACCGGCTGACTTGAATACGTCCAGCCCCTCCAGAAGCTCCCTAACTAAACCCTCGCTAACCCTTGCTGTCTTATCTATTTACACTGTCTCAGGGGCTGTCTGCTACCCATTGTGCTGGGTGATGCAAAGACACAGAAACACCAGTCTTGGCTGACCCTTGAGAACTGCCATAAAACACAAACAATGTTAGCATAGAGAAATTCAGCCTGACCTACTGTTTGACATTTCAATGAAGTCAAGAATCCCCTTGTCTCATAGTTTATAATTTACAAGAGACTTGTTATTTATTTGGTAAATTATTAATGAATGTAACTCAGTGAAGGTTTGAAACTATTGTATTGTTTCATTCTATTGAATACATGAGAGCACCTGAAGCACTTATACTGGCAGGAGAAAGATAGATGGATGCTCTTTTTACTTTGTTATGAAGGTGTATATAAAACCTGGCTCATCTGAGTGTGAAAGCTGCTTCTGCCATAGAATCCATGTCATGTATTTGGCTTCAGTGTAAATTGAATATGCTTCATGGAAGTTGAGCTTTCAGGGGTAGGCTATGGTCTGCCATGATGAGATGCAGGTTAAGCTGACTTGGTATCAGAATAGACCTGGGGGAAAGGTTTTAACTTGCTAATTAATGCAGGTGCTTTTCTTTTTTTTGTTTTCCTTTATTCTTTACTCTCTTTCAGATTGTTGTACTGACAGGGCTTCTGAATAATTCACTGCAAATCTTTACTGCATGTGTTGGCACCAGTACACTGGGTGTGTATTAACTCCTGCTTTCTTTTTTTTTTCTCTTTTGCAAGATTGAACAGCAACTGACCCTTGAACAACTCAAGAAATTAAATACAGCCTTTCAGGTATGACTGCACCAGTGACATTGTTATATTGATATGCAGCATTGCTCACAAAAAGAAACATCCAGTATATGATGATCATTGTTCAAAACAGAATTGATTTGAAATAACTTTTTGGGGCCAAGACTATGTCTTCATCTGTACAATGATGAGCATGTTTTTAACACCACTGCAATATACTAATTTTTAAAAGAAATGTTGTTTTATGTTTTTAGTTAATGTCTATAATAAGTAAATTACATTTGACAGTTGTTTCCATGTGTAGTTTTCAATCACCTTAATGTTTATTTCTCAGAATTGCTGTCTGTTCTGGTTTTGTTTGAAATAAGAACCTTTTGGTTGGAACTCAGGATTTTTATAATTAAACTTGCTAAACTACTTTTTCTCTCTCTAGTATATATGTGTTTTTTCTTAATGCACAGGCCAGCAGATTTAAATCTTCTTTGTGTTTGCATGAAGACTTGCTCCCCAACTCATTTGTATGCTGTTGCTCTTGCACACATTTTGGGAAATCTATAAGGAAGACTTTTATTAAAATCCTAACAAGTGGATCATTCCTTTATTCCTGTGGTGACATCACAAGGCCAATCAACAATAATGACCCTACATTAATGGCTCAACCATCCAATTACTTTAACTTACAGGAAAGCAGTGAATGCCCGCTGATTTGAAAAAAAACAACATGCAGAACAGATCCCCTAAAGACTTGCATCTTAATATGGTTAAATCAGTGGTAAACTGCAATGACAAACAACTGCACTCTTGTATACCCTTTTAACTATGCTGGTGAAGTTATGATGTTCTGTATTTCCTCAATGTGGACAGGACTTAAGTAAAGGGATACATGGATGTGAATGGTTCTCAATCTGTAGCCTGTTGTCTTTGGAGTACTTCCTGATGGTGCCCTACTGTCTGCCGCGAGGCACAGGTGCACGCGCCAGTACAGAGCTGATGCTGGGGCTCCGGAGCCTGACAGCTGTTTGCAGCCTCCTGGCTGCAGCTGACCCCAGCTCTGGGTAGTTGCTGCCAGCCAGGAGCCCAGGCTGGGGGGGCATGGGGCAGCAGGGCTGGGGGGCAGGGGCTTTGGGTGGGGGGCAAGGGGCACAAGCAGGGCATCCTGCCATGTACCCCCTGCTCTCATTTTGTTTTTCTGGCATGCCAGCACTCCAGCACCTTCCAAGGTAGGCATTGTGTGGTGTTTTTTGGCACTCCGGCCAAAAAATGTTGCCTACCCCTGCACTAGGATCAATAACTAAAGAGAAGAACCATGAGCCACCAGGAGGCGGAAAAAGTATCTGGGGAAGAGAAACAAGAAGGAAACGAGGAGAGGAGTGGGGAAATATGCAGTGGAGGGAGTATGGTGTTTTATGTTGTTTTATTTTTCTTCCCCTCTGAAGAGGACAAATCATTTCTAATCAGATATCCAAATATTTCCCTGATGCAGATCTCACTCAGCGTAGTCCGATGAGCCCCAGGTTTGTGTTCTCAGTAACTGTAACTAGAAGGGGATGTGTACATGAGACAGAGAACGGTTAGGATGCCATCCTGGAACATGGAAAGTCTGTGTTTGACTCTGAACTTCACAACAAGCTTCCTATGTAAGCCTGAGCAAGCCTCTTGGTCTCTGCCTTGGTGCCTGTCTGTAAAATGGAGGCAATACTATTTCCCTATCTCACCAGGGCATTGGGCTTTAGTGGCAGAGCAGTGATGGCATCTTAAGTGTGGTTCAGGCCTCAATCCTGGCACATGCCAAAGGCCATATGCAGTTTACCCAGCTGTAAATGAGGACCTGCTCATTTGGGCCAGGGGCTCAAAGAAATCTAGATGTGAAGCTAGCGACGACATTCCCTTGCATGTCTTTGGCTACAGAGAGTGCTGGGTCTTAGCCCAGTGAGCTGGTGGCCAAGGCTGAAAGTCCACCTGAGTTTTTCTTGACCTCAGCAGGTACATTGAGCCAGGTGCCCAGATACTTTAGTAATGTCCAGGGCAGACACCAAAACCATCTCCTCGATGCTGGTAACTTTGTTCTGTCTCTGCTAACGCTCCCAAACTTTAAGCAAACCATTCATTTCCCAATTAACATTTTTCTTTTTTTAGGAAGTCTAAAATTAACATAGTGGCAGTTTTTCTTTTTTGTTGGGTTTTTGTTTTGTTGACTTTGAATGGCTGAGAAAAAAAATATTATTAACACAGTCAAGTAACTAAAATGTAGCTCAACAGATCTGTTTGAAATTATTTTTTAAAAGTCTGAACTGAGAAAAAACATGAGCAGTTTCAGCCAAATATTATAATCTACTCAAGCAGGCTGTATTGTCCATTATCTAACTACCTATTTACAGTAATGCAAGCTGGAACCTGTGATACGTTTTGTAGGCTCCTCTAGTATACGAATTAATATTCTACATTGTTACATAGTGTGAGATTATGATCATGTTTTAAAAGGAAGCAGTCTTTCATGCTAATTTCTTATTAACATGCTCTCACATTAAGGATCTTTTACCATCAGCAAGTCAAAGGTAAGCTTTTTTATTAACTAACTTTCTTGCTTCTGCTTTTAGGAGTTAGAAGAGAATGGATGTAAATCATTGGATGTAGAGAAATTCAAGCAGATAGTGAAGAAGAGTATGGCACCATATAATTCGGTAAGCAAACAACAATGAGTTGGAAGTTAAATAACAGGAAAACCTGTATTACAATATTAAAAGTCTTTTTCATCATGTAACTTTTCCTCCATACAGAGTGGTGAACAAATTGAAGAATTTTTCATGAAAATTGACTATGCTGCAACTGGAACAATTCGGTGGGTAAGTGGAGATTTTGATGTGGCTTTCTTTTTGTTGTTGTTCTTTAAAGCAGTAAGGAATGAGTATGCAAATAGCAGATCTGCAGCTTCCAGAAATGTAGCTCAGGTGGGATTAGACTTTCATTTTGTCCAAGTTGGCCAACGTTGAGAGAGGGAAAAGTGAATAAGTTTGCTAGAATACAAATTTCTACTTATTGTCTTTAATTCTCTTTATTCTGTACAGTACCAGCCATGTGATTTAATGCTCAAAAAATAAATTCCCCAAACCCTTCATTCGTGTCCCATGATCAGAAACCAGAAATACAAAAAAAGTCTAGACAGATAAACAGAGAAGGCTGCTAATTGATTTGTTTGTGTCTTACAGCAATAGTAAGCATCAGGTTGGGAACAGAGGCCATGATTCAGTAATGAATTTAAGCGTATGCCCAGATGTTTTCTGAATTGGGGCCCTCAATGGTCTGTATAGCTGCATATAAAGCTCTCATAGAACACAGTAGGAAGCAAACATGAAACGCTTTCTTTGTTCAGTCCCAAGCCTCTTTCCAGCCAGCACTTCACCAAAAAATCTCTCACTTGGCATGATCTTGCAAAAAGTTGTCAATATTTCTCTCTGGCCTCTGCCAGCAACTGCAGGGGAGTTCCCCTGCAGCCGATCCTACCAACCGGTGGGGCAGAGGGAAATCCCCAGCAGCGGATTGTGAAACAGCCGATTGCTGTAGCCGCTTCCAGGAGTGCCATGGTGCTCCACTCCCTGGTTGGCGCTTGCAGGAGGGGTACCGGCACTCCTGCCTGTCCCCCCCCGCCCATCGCCTAAGCAGTGAGCATGGCCAGTCAGGGGGTGCACTGGCAAACGCAGTTGCCACTGACTGTGCTGAACAGAACTATGGAGACTGTCCCCAACTCATACAGCCACACCAGTAAAAGTCCTTACTTCCAATGCTGTTATACTGGCAAAAATATATGGCTTGGCTTGCTTATATAGCAGGAGCAGGCAATTATTTTGGCTGGAGGGCCACTTAATGAGTTTTGGGGAGCTGTCAAAGGCTGCAAGGGTGGTCACACCCCAATCCCTGACCTTTGCCACTGCAAGTCCTTTTCCCTTGTCCCCAGAAGTACTCCTTACCCAGCCATCTTGGAACCGGAAAAATAATTGTATACTAAAAATCAAACATCCACAACAACATATTTTAATATGATTTAAAAATATATATTTTTGTCCCAGTTTGTGTGTGTTTGCATTGTGTATATAGAGGTGATTACATAATAGCTCAAAATGAAGTCTTACTGCATTGCAGGGGTGTAGGGGCATATGGGGGTGGGTATGGAGCTGTGTGTGTGTGTGTGTGTGTGTGTGTGTGTGTGTGTGTGTGTGTG